CCAATGCGCTCAACTACATGAACATTGGGATTGTCTACATTCTCAACACTAATGACAACAGAGTCAACTAAATATGTATCCTCAATATCCTTGGTTCACTCTAGTATCTCTTCTACAACATCGACATCCTCAAAATCTAGTGCGATTGATTGTTGGTGTTCTACTCTAGCCTCCTCCTCTAGCTCATCAATTTCTGTATCTAATTCACGCTCTTCTTGGATACTATTCACAATATTGGCTTGTTGAGCATTAAAAACTTCAACCAGCTGACTCATGTGAACTTTCAAGTTGTGAATAGTTTCCTCCTGCCTTTCTATCCGCAGTAGTAATTTACTTTGTTGTTCCAAAATGCACTTTAACATATCTTCGAGCTTCTTTAGGTCAGCTTCCCTAGGTTCTTTGTTCCTATTAACTTCACCAGAAAAATAAGAACCATCAAAGTAAGGGGTTGGGGGAAGGTAAGAAATATACGCACAACCGTGAAAGTGACCATCTTGACCACCACACATATCACACACATTCCACACATAAGATTGAGTTGGTGCACAAAACTCGCTCTCAGGAATATTTTGATAATTTTGCCCTGGGTGGTTTCCTTCACAATATGCATAAGGAGGACCAAAAGTAGAATTACCAACAACAAAATTCTCATAATTCCATGATGTCATGTTTCTCTAAACAAATAAAACTAAAATAAAAAATAAAAAAAATCAAATAATAAAATAAAAGTTCAAACTTGAAACCTAGCAATATGTACGCCTACAACTACACCGTTAGTTCCTCGGCAAGGGCGCCAAAATTTGATCACGCCCAACTATGCCTTATAAAAAGGACTAAGCGGTCGTTGCAAATATAATCCGGTTTACAAGTCCGGAGTTGAATCCCACAGAGAACTAAGGCTTAGCTATAGTTGTTCAATATCGCTAAGAAAAACAAGTCCAAATAATTTTCTAATTATAAAAATTACAATATTTATTTTTATCTAATTAACTAGCAAATCTAGAAAGCCGTAAAACTATCAATTAACAAGGATAAGGATTGGAGTCAAGATTAAGGAGGTCTAGAGTTATGATTTTTCCAATTGTCGGAATCCTTCCCGCTACGTTTTCTATAAATTTCCCTAAGTATTCTCTACCGATCATGAGCGCTCTGACTGTCGTAACTCTCTCCCGAGTAATTACCACAATTTACTAGACGCACTCTCCCGAGTTACGCTAGCTGGCTTTGTTTATTACAGCTCACTTTAGATTGCACCCAAGGCTTCGTTATCCTAATCCCTCCTTTAAACCCGCAGTTATAGATCCCTCTTATACTTTGGGTGTGGTGTTGTTCAACAACTATCTAAATATGCACTCTGTCCCGAGTTATGCACACTAAATAGGCACAGCTAATTGAGGATCCTGTCAATTAACTACAACAAACACGTAGTTGAACAAATAGAGAAAATACTACGGCTCAATTATATAAAAATAACAGGAATTTATCCTACAAAAGGTTCCATCAAAAGCGTAAATAACAAATTAGCTATTCATAATAGCATGTAAAACTACAATACTCAAAGTCATAACCAACAATGAAAAATAGGAAGAGGAAGGAAAAACTCGTAGAAGAATTCCCAGCCTTGCTCCTAGCGTGTTCTTGCCTCCAAGGGTCGAATCTATGTCTCAAATCTGTCCAACCCTCTCAAAATAGCATTTTTACATGTATTTATACCAAGTAGGGTCGGGCCCAGATGAAAAAAACCCAATCCTGCGCGAACTAGGACTTAGCTCTGTAAAAATTGAACAGCCGCGCCGCAGGCTGCGCCGCACCATGCGGCGCGGTAGTGCATTTTATCTGCAGCTTCATATTTTTGAGTCAGGCACAATTTTACACTGCTGCGCCGCTCCTTGCAGCGCCCCATGCGGCGCAGCAGTGCAATTTTCTCAGAGTGAACTTATTCGTCCCCTTTTAACATCCAGACTTGGTACACGACCCTCGAACACGATCCCGGCTTAATGTATTGGGCTTTTACTTAGACTTCAAAGCTCCAAATTGATCAATTTAGCTCTAAATTAACTTTTGAGCTCAGGATCACTTCCTGCAAGGCATAAAACACGTACTAAGTGCAATTCACTATCATTTGAACTCAAACGCACGTAAAAATACAGTCATTGGAATGTAATACTACGGCTAAAATACGGGTTTCTAGCCTAACATCACTGAAGATATTTCCTGCATGGTAGACTATTGTGAAGATATTGCCAAAAGAGGTATTTGATTTTATTAGGAAAATTTAGTTTCCATATCCACATGAAGTCATATTGAGGCTTTTTTGTAGGTTTAATAATTGTAAGGCAGGATTTACTGGTGAAATAGCCATTAGAGTTCTTGGTCCATATCGAGTGTCTTTATTATCATTAAGAGATATAGGAATTTGATGAATTTTTTCCATAATATTGGCAGGCAGTTCAAAAGATAATTTAGAGGAATCCCATTGGCCATTTGAAAAGATATCCTTTACTTTAGTGGATAATTCATGCTTATTGAGAGGACCCTCGATGCATTCCCTTAGTGGTTGGAGATTTGGTATCCAATTGGATAGCCAAAGAATTTGATTAGAATTCTTGCAAGGTTGCCATGTAATGCCCTTAGTGAAGATTGATCATCCTTTTAGGATGTTTTTCCAGATGAATGAGGTATAGGTTGGTGTTTTGTTCCTTGCATATTTTAGTATGATAACTTTGCACCATAAGGCAGTGGGAGTGGAGATAATCCTCCATGCTGGGTTACTTAGAGCTATCAAATTTTTTGTATTAGCATCTTTTATGCCAAGTCCTCCCTCTTCTTTGCTTTTAGTAATGGTATTCCAATTGACATAGTGGACTTTCTTGGTCTCATTAGTAGAACCCCAGATGAAGTTACATTGAATAGGTCAATTTGGTTTAGAGTTTTGGTGGGAAGATGGGTGTATTGCATTACATGACTAGGATAGCATTGAGAGTAACCAATGACTTTAGCGGGACATGATTTATTTCTTGATTGAATGAGCTAATCGATAAGATCAATATTTCAAGAACTTACATTTTTGTCTATTTTCTATTTTATAACGTAAACATATTGTTTAATAATATTAGTCATGTAATTTTCTAAACTTTTATACTCATTGATACGGGTACACGCACAACACGCGTTTTATAAACTAGTAATAAAAAAAAAGTAAAATTAATAGCATAAGGTAAAAGTACATGTGAAAAAAATAAAAAATAAAAGAACAAATTCAAATAAAATCATTATATATATTTTTGTTTTTTATAATGATCGAGTTTTTGAGGAAGAAATATAAGTGAATAATCATAAATAATACCAACACTTAAGGAAGATAAAAACGTTAATACAGGAAGACAAAAGTGACAAACATTGCTTGCCGAAGATCTTCAAAATCTCTTCTGCAAGAGCTTTAATTTTGTTGAACTTTCTAAAGCTATGTTTTTCTTGTATAAACTATGAACTTCATTCTGTAGCAGCAACAATAATGTCTCTGAGAGCAAATTGCGCAATTTATCATTATCTTTACAAAATTCTGGAACAGCTTTGCAAGTAATATTGGGAATAACTGAGAAATAGATCGACTTAACTTGAGTTTGTGAAATTGACGCAAAGAACTCTGCAAATCGCTTCCCTTGAATTTTGCCAGACCTACACTTCTTCAAAACAAACACTCCTACAACTCTAATGGATCAACAACACTGCCAAGGTGGAATACCTCCAAAGCCACCAGACATTTATTTAAAGACAAACCACTAGCCAATGAGCAGAAGGAAACCTTCTCAATATTATCGCCACCGACATACCTATCTCCAATGGCAATGGACACAAACGAGGAAGAAGATGAAAAGTCTTCTGAGAATCCTGATGGGGAAATTAAAGTTCCCATAAGTGGGGAAGATAAATTACGTATTTACTACCCATGGAGATTCTCAGTTATAATAAAACTACTAGGTAAAAAAATCCTCCACCAAGTTCTCAAACGTAAACTTATAGATCTCTGGAAACCAACTGAAGCTTTCCCCCTAATAGATCTTGGTGAACAATACTTCATAGTAAAATTCAATAAAGAAGAGAACTTGGAGAATGTATTACAAAAAGGGTCATGGTTTGTCTTTGGCCACTTCCTTTCAGCACAACGCTGGGAACCAAATTTTGTTCCCGCTATTGCCAAATAAGTTTAAACTGCAATATGGATCAGGTTACCACATCTTCTAACAGAATTTTACGATGAAGAAATTCTGAAAAAAGTAGGTAAGACAGTGGGCAGACTACTCAAAGTAGATTTTTTTATTACTAGTTTATAAAACGCGCGTTGTGCGTGTACCCATATCAATGAGTATAAAAATTTAGAAAATTACATGACTAATATTATTAAACAATACGTTTAAGTTATAAAATAGAAAATAAACAAAAATGTAAGTTCTTGAAAATAATAAATATTGATCTTATCGATTAGCTCATTCAATCAAGAAATAAATCATGTCCCGCTAAAGTCATTGGTTACCTTAATAATTATTTTGATGTATGTGTTTTATATTTGTCTCGGAAGTTTAGAGAAAATGGTACAATATTGATTTGAGCTAGGTGATAAATAGAGCACTCGGAGAATCGTCGAGACTTTGGGTATTGTAGGCGCATAAGAGTCGAGGAGGTCGAGGAGGCTATGCGTAAGATGAGCAGGGGGAGAGCGACAAGTCCAAATGAGATCCCGGTGAAATTTTGGAAGAGCGTGAGTAAGGCCGGCTTGGAGTGGCTCACTGGGTTATTTAATATCATTTTTATGACGAAGAAGATGCCCGGAGAATAGAAATGGAGTACGATGGTCCCGCTATATAAGAACAAGGGTGATATCCAAAGTTGCAACAACTATCGGGCCATCAAGTTACTATGTCATACTATGAAAGTCTAAGAGAGAGTGGTGGAGGGGGTTGAGGAGGATCGTGACTATTTCTGAGAATCAATTCGGATTTATGCCGAGACATTCGACTACAGTAGCTATCCACCTTCTTAGCAGGTTGATGGAGCAGTATTGGGAGAGGAAGAGGGATTTACATATGGTGTTCATCGACTTAGAGAAGGCTTACGATAAAATACCAAGGGAGGTTTTTTGGAAATATTTGGAGGCTAGAGGTGTTCCTGATGCATATATTAGGGATATTAAGGACATATGTGATGGAGCTAAGACTCGAGTGAAGACAGTGGGAGGGGACTCAGAACACTTCCCAGTTATGATAGGGTTTCACCAGGGGTCAGCCCTCAACCAATTTCTATTTGCCTTGGCGATCGACACTTTGACGCGCCACATTCAAGGAGAGGTGCCGTGGTGCATGCTATTTGCAGATGACATTGTACTGATTGAGGAGACGTAAGGCGGTGTTAACGAGAGGTTGGAGGTTTGGAGGTAGAACCTAGAGTCTAAAAGTTTCAAGTTGAGCAGGACTAAGACGGAATACTTGGAGTGCAAGTTCAGTGGTGCGACTCAGGTAGTGGATGAAGATGTGAGGCTTGATTCTCAAGTCATCCCTAGAAGAGAAAGTTTTAAATACCTTGGGTCAGTTATTCAAGGGAATGGGGAGATCGACGAGGATGTTACACATCGTATTGAGGCGGGGGTGGATGAAATGGAGGCTCGTTTCTAGTGCTTTGTGTGATAAGAATGTGCCACCAAAACTTAAGCATAAGTTCTATAGAGCGGTGGTTAGACCGGCTATGTTGTATGGGTGAGAGTGTTGGCCAGTCAAGAACTCCCATGTCCATAAGATGAAGGTAGCTGAAATGAAAATGGTGAGATAGATTACGGGCATACAAGGATAAATAGAATTAGAAATGAAGTTATTCGGGACATGGTGTGTATTGCCCTTGTGGAGGACAAGATGCCAGAGGCGAGACTTATATGGTTCGGACATGTGATTAGGAGAGACGACATAGAAGCTCTGGTGAGGAGGTGCGAGAGGTTGGCCCTGGAGGGCCTGAAGAGAGGTAGAGGCAGGCCGAAGAAGTATTTGGGTGAGGTGATTAGGCAGGATATAGCGTTGCTCCAGCTTACCGAGGACATGGCCATGGATAAAAAGGTATGGAGGTGGAGAATAAAGGTTAAGGGTTAGGATAGGTAGCCGAGTGTTCTTGTAGACAATAAATTTGCGTCAAGAAAATAAAATCAAGACCGAAAATATTGCAACAATCGTAGTATTTTATTTCGAATATTTGAGTGTTACAATCTCTATGAATCCTCTGATTCTTCTTTCCAATAGTAAATAAATTCAAGGGCCTTTGAGCTTGATCTTGAATCTATGTTTGTTGCCACGAACGATGATCTTGTTCTTGAGCTTGAGCTTGATTGCTTGAACTTGACCTTGATTCGTTCTTCATTCTTGAGCTTGAACTTGATTTGTCCTTCGTTCTTGAACTTGAACTTGATTGCTTGAAGCTTGAAACTTATGGAGAAATTTGTAGTGTTTGATCCACGAGCTCTTCCTTGCTTCTTGTTATAACTTCTGGTCTTTTTCTGAGTTATGAAGACCCCTATTTATAGTTGTGAAGGGAAGTGTTGTGATAAGAACAAACTCTTTCCGACCAATCAAATTGAAGGGTGACATGGCTGCATTTGATTGGCCAGAACATGTCACTTGCACACGTGGCACGATTTCATTGGCCTTTCAGTGTGACCGGGCATGCCTTGTCATTTTGACATGTGGCACAATCCTATTGGCTCTTTCGTTTGACTTGGCGCGCCACGTCATTGCACCAAACTGGGCCTTTAGGAAGATGTCATCTTGGTCTTAATGAAGTGGGCTTATCACTTTAGCCCAATTAAATGGGATGACCCAATGGATTAAGACTTATTTATTTAATCCATATATATTGGACTTATATAATTAATTCATTTATATATTAGCCCATAATATTTATTTGGACCAATATATCTTGAATTTAAAATATTGTCCAAATTATTTTACGGATTTAATTCCAATAAAATTTATATGCCTACAAATGCCCCCTACTTCAAGACTTGTTGAGGTATAGGTTTGTCGATTTTGAAAGACGAGGCTTGAAGTACCACGCTTAAACGATTGAGTAACTCGCACATGCCAAGACTTTAACTCACAATCAATTAATCCATATGAGCAAATATCACAACGAGAGATGACATCATATCAAAAAGGATAAGTCATGGCAACTTTAATTTAAACATGCCACATAATTAAGGTAAAGTGAGAGAAGATCACAAAAGTAGTATTGTGATATACATTTGGTCTCCAAAAGGGCTTCCATTTGCAAAGAACTGACTCAAATCAGTGTGAAAGGATTTTCGAGTGGTTTTCCGTATTGAGGTTGGATACTACCTACGACTGCTTTCCTCCGACCTTTATGTGGCTAAAGAGATTAAACTAAGAAGTTATTTGACTCCTTCTTGAAGTCTACTAGTCACGTAATTCATGTTAGACACAAATTATGTTACCGCCTTAACGCTGCTCCCACATCGGTAATATACTATTGCAAGCCGTCTATAGAGATCTATATAAACTCATGCGCTCTTATTTGTTAAACATCAATTCCCAGTATTTGTAAGCCACTTGAGTCTATTTTTGACGACTTGGAAGCATTGACGAGAAGGTAATTTCTTCTTCTTTTCTCGTGCTTTTCTTCTTTTGTCATTTTTTTTGTAGGTCAAGCGAGAAAGATATGTTCTTGTTCAACGAGATGATCCATGCATGAAGAAGACAATCTTGGGGTGTGAGGGGATGAGTACTCATTAACCATTAACCGTCTAAGCCAAAGATTTATTTTATCTTAGTCAAAGAACATCACACCGTTTATGCCAAAGATTTATTATCTGAAGCGAAGACCATTACACCGTCTGAGCTAATGACTTCATCTTGTTTAACTTCATTTTATCTGAGGCATAGACCTACATCGTCCGGGCTAGATTTATTTTGTCTGAAGCGAAGACCATTACACCGTCTAAGCTAATGACTTCATCTTGTTTGAAGATTTAACTTCATTTTATCTAAGGCATAGACCATTACACCGTCTGGGCCAAAGATTCATTTCGTCTGAAGCGAAGACCATTACACCGTCTAAGCTAATGAGTTCTTGTTTGAAGATTTAACTTTATTTTATCTAAGGCATAGACCATTACACCGTCTAAGTCAAAGATTTCTTTTGTCTGAAGCAAAGACCATTACACCGTCTAAGCTAACGACTTCATCTTGTTTGAAGATTTAACATCATTTTATCTAAGGCATAGACCATTACACTGTCTAAGCCAAAGGCTTCACTTTATTTGAAAACTTGACTTTCTTTATCAATGGCAAAGATCATTACAATGCCTAAGCCAAAGATTTTACTTTTATCTGAGGCAAAGACTATTACACCATCTGAGCCAATGATTTGTTTTGCCAGGGTGAAGACAACCATCCAAGCTGAAGACTTTACTTTGTCCGAGAATAAGACCATTATACTGTCTAAGCTGAAGACTATACTTTGTCCAAGGCGAAGACAACCCTCTAGGCTGAAGACTTTACTTTGTCCGAGGATAATATCATTACATCATCTAAGCTGAAGACTATATTTTGCCCAAGACTAAGACCAGCAAAGTCCATTATACAGTCTAACTTGAAGATTTTACTTCACACCAAAAGATTTGACCTTTTGGCGCAAAGGAATGAAAACTCGTCCTCATTTCGAGATACATGAATCAAAGATTGTATGAAGCATGATTTTTTTTTTTTCACAAAGCTGACCACCAAGAATATCTCTTCAACTTCAATCTTCACAGGTAATTTTATGATCTCCTTTATATAGATATGTTTCTCCTTTTTTTTTTTCTGCAGGTAGAAGAAGAAATCAATTTCAAAGATACTACTTTAGTAAAGATAACCTCACAATCGAAGAATCTTTTTTTATATTTCAACTTGAAGACATGGCAGACTTGAAGGCTTCTACTTGAAGACTTGACAGATTGAAGATTTCGACTTGAAGACTTAGTGGATTTGATGACTTTAACTTGGTGATTCAACTTGAAAAGAATTGAAGACTTCAACTTTTGACGATTTTGAAGAAGAATTGAAGACTTCAACTTTTGACGATTTCGAAGGCCTTAACTTGACTTGGTGAATTCGGAGATTTTAACTTGATGACTCAGCGGGCTTGAATATTTCAAATTGATGATCTAGCGGACTTAACGAAATCAACTTGGCTTACAATTGGAGACTTCATCCTGAAGATTTAGCCTTTTATTAAAAGACTACAATCATTCCATCAGAGACCTCAATTTGACGTTGAGGGCTTGCCCCCTTTGGGCCATCAAGATAAGACAGAGATTTCAACAAAAGAATACATGTACACCTAACTTTCAAGTGTCAATCAAGTGAATATATTCCATAATACTTCCTTTGAATAAGGCCTAGGGTAATATGTATTTTTTAACTCATATGACTGAACTTAGAATGAAACTCCAAGCTGCCTACGTACCTCGATGAAGAGGATCAAGTCATTTCGTAGTTCGAAATGGGTGAGTTTTTTTTTTGTCCTAACTTTTGCCTAAGCCGCCTCTTTCGAGGATTTCAACCTAGCGGACTTTTTTTTTTTGGACCGTGCACAGTTTATACTCTTGCGGGCCAGGAGTATAGCAACATGCAGTTTAGGCTCGTGCGTCATGGAGCGTCATGACTTGCAGTTTAGGCTCGTATGTCGAGGAGCATCATGACTTGCAATTTAGGCTCGTACGTCAAGGAGCATCATGACTTGCAACTTCATGGATAATACTTCTTCAAAAACTTGCCGTTGATAGGGCCGATCCTCATACCATCTGCATCAACCAGCTTGTAAGCCCCACTTGAATAAGCTTCTTGTACGACATATGGCCCATCCCATTTTGAAGTGAACTTCCCTACAGGTTTATGGGAAGTAATTATGGGTCTTCATACGGCAAGGACTTGATCTCCTACTTGAAAGGATCTCGGACGAACTCTTTTATTGAAGGCGCGAGATAATCGAGCTTGATAACATTCAAGACTCTGTTGAGCTTCCAATCTCTTTTCATCAAGAGCTTCCAACTCTGCTAACCGAAGTCGAGCATTTTCTTCATCAGTGATCCCTTCTTGAATAGCCAGTCATAACGAAGGTATTTGACGCTCAAGTGGCAAGACGGCTTCGACTCCATAAACGAGTGAATAAGGAGTTGCCTGTGTTGGAGTGCGGTGAGTAGGTCCTCCATCGGTGCCAAGGTTAACTTCTTTTAAGGCATCAACTGTCATCTTCACTCCTTCTTCAAGTTCAGGTGGAGCATCTTTTGCCTCTTCATCTTCTTGAGGGTCCCCATCATTGAAGGATATGTGATAACACGGCGAAATATCCTCCAATTCCGCATTATCCTCCAACGAAGACAAAACAACATTCTCGCTTTGTACAGTGACATGATACGAAGAACCTACACTTTCTTCATCTTCGTCACGTTCCTTAGTGTAGACCACAGCATATGGCTTTACCTTCAGTACTCCTTCACATGAAACCACTAGTTTTGTTTGTCGCCTCATTCTGGAAGGAACCAAACTTTGGAAATCCTGAGAGATCTCCTGAATTTTGGGTGAAGCGGGTGTTCTTGTATTTCGATGATTTCTCTGGAACTTATTCCCCT